GCCTTCACCTCTTGGGCCGGAGCAGTACTGATCAGCTTTGTACCTCATGAATATTCATAAACAATATAACAATAATAACAATATTAATCCATCTGTAGGTTTTATCAGTTTAAAGCCCATGTTATAGTCTTTTGCCCCATGATAGAAACAGCATCTGGAGCATTCCCTTCATTTACCAATCTTTTTTTTTAAAAAAATAGCAATGATTCTTCACCAGTGACTATCTCTGATATTTGACTCTGGACAATGAGATATAGACATGTTGCCAAATAGCACTGTTCCAAGTCATATTCGAGTTAAAAGAAGATGATTTAAAAGATTGTTTGAGCTATAGGTATGTGATCTGGATTCATAAAATAAATAACATAGAAGATGTTGAGTATTTAGTTCTAAAATTTGAATACCAAGGAGTATAGGACCATTAATTAATAGTCAAGCAAAGTTGAAAACTCTCGGTCAGATGAAACACTTGCTTGGATTTATCTAAGATGGTTTGCAAGCACTGTGTTGGAGATTCGTAGGAAACGTCAGTAGCGTTATGGCTAGTCTGAGGGAAGTCTGTTAGTCATCACCCAGAATCCTTCTTACCTACTTCAATGTGATAAAAACATCTGGAAATGCCATATTTTCACATTGGGATAAAAGAGTAAAGTGAGAACTGTGATCTTTTCCTTTTATCTATTTATTACTTTTATCTGTCTGCTAACAGAAAAGTGTATTTTATGGGTTCAGGTATTTTTTTCCATTGCTAATCTCATTTGTTAAAATTTCTCAAAACATCCCTTTATTTTCCTTGGCTTAGTTATTCATTTGATTAGGAGTTTTAGTAATGACAGTGCACATGGGACTAAACGTTTCCCACATATGAGCTACGGTCTTTCCAAGAAATACTCACGTTCCGTATGTGCATCGTGGTCTGAGTGTAGAAAGCACAGCACACGCAGCATCTCTCACGAAGTCGACATGAGCTAGAAATTGAGAATCTTTTACTCTATTTTAATCTATTTTTACTCCATTTTAGAGATAATAAAATGAAGACAATGTTTTTCCGAAGGAGTCAAATAGGACTCAAATATACATCTTCAGATTCTTTGTTTTAATACTTACTAGGAATATTTTTTAAGTATTTCTCTAACCTTGTATGAGGCCTTGTGATTGGGTGATGTCAAAGGGGAAATTAGTACTTTTAATTTTTAAAAAAATGTAATTTTTTTTTATTCTGTTACTAATCTTTCCATTTTAAGATACTGTTTTGCTGATAACTGAGAACTATATTTCTAGTGAAATCATCCTAGATGCTATTGCATAGTGGGAGAAATTTTAAATCTGTACAAAAGACATTGTGTTCTATGTATTTTATTGCCTTCATACCGACAAATTTTCTGGCTACAGAGGAAAAGGCACAGTCCAGAGGCATCATTCTCACCATTGGACAAAATGCTTGAAATTGTGTGTTTTGATTTGGTTACAAACCAAACCTGTTACATACTTAGCAGCCCTCTCTGCAACTACCAGGATTGCGTCCATGCAGAATTAAACTGAAATAAAAATTCTGTGACATTCATGCCCCCTCATGGAGCAGGCCATTGCTACTGTAAATTCTGAGCCATAAAGGCATATAAGATGGGGAATGGGATGGTTTAAAGAAACACTTGAAGTGGCCATAGGGGGGGTTACTAATTGATTACTCTCCAAGAATTTAAAAAGAAACAGTGGTCTTTTGCATATTTGACTCTGTCATGATAACAGGAGCATGTCGTTGGTGTCTAGCATTCTCTTGAAGATGGTAAGTGGCCGCTCTCAGTGGAACATTAACCAATGTCATGATTAAGTAAGTGGGAAAGAAAAGATGCATCAGAAAGGTGCCTGGAAGTGGTCTGAGAACCAGCAGTATCGAGAGTGGTTGCAATTTCTNTATTGCATAGTGGGAGAAATTTTAAATCTGTACAAAAGACATTGTGTTCTATGTATTTTATTGCCTTCATACCGACAAATTTTCTGGCTACAGAGGAAAAGGCACAGTCCAGAGGCATCATTCTCACCATTGGACAAAATGCTTGAAATTGTGTGTTTTGATTTGGTTACAAACCAAACCTGTTACATACTTAGCAGCCCTCTCTGCAACTACCAGGATTGCGTCCATGCAGAATTAAACTGAAATAAAAATTCTGTGACATTCATGCCCCCTCATGGAGCAGGCCATTGCTACTGTAAATTCTGAGCCATAAAGGCATATAAGATGGGGAATGGGATGGTTTAAAGAAACACTTGAAGTGGCCATGGGGGGGTTACTAATTGATTACTCTCCAAGAATTTAAAAAGAAACAGTGGTCTTTTGCATATTTGACTCTGTCATGATAACAGGAGCATGTCGTTGGTGTCTAGCATTCTCTTGAAGATGGTAAGTGGCCGCTCTCAGTGGAACATTAACCAATGTCGTGATTAAGTAAGTGGGAAAGAAAAGATGCATCAGAAAGGTGCCTGAAGTGGTCTGAGAACCAGCAGTATCGAGAGTGGTTGTAATTTCCTATCATCAAGACGTTGTAGTCACTAAAATTTTGTAAATTATAGGCAAGATGACTCTGTAACCATGGTAAACTGATAGTGTAGCCCTTGACCTTTTCCTGTTATACCACTGCCCCGAATCCCAGCTCAGCCTCCCTACAGCAGGCACGGGGATCTCTAGAGAGCGTGACCCACCCACGAGCTGGACTGCACCCCGGGCACTCTGCAGCAAGTCCCCCCCGTAGTGTCCCTTCTGCACAGCCCATTCTGCAATCTCACAACCTTCCCCAGCCGACTTCACCTGGTCATCTAAACCTCAGCCTCATTCTCCTAGAGAAACTGAAGCCACAAAGCAGTGATGTCTCTACCCCGCAAGATGCTCCTCGCCTTCGGAGCTATGTTTGTGGCCACAGAGAGCGGCGTCCCTCTGCAGTGGGAGGGTCCGAGGCCTCTTCCCACCTCAGTTACTTTCTCCTCCTCAATGCCCCCATGCCTCCTTTTCTTTAGTCTTTTCTCCAGTCTTTTTTTGCTTCTGTCTCAGCATATAAACATTCCGAAGCCTCTCGCGCTGCCACCCAAACAGCCACTAGACTGATCTTCTGCCCTGACAGCCAGGACTGGGGAACAAGACGTCCTCTGGGACCCACGCCTGCCCCCTCTGCAGTCTGCTGCTGCCACTGCCCAGCGCTCCTGGTCAGTCGCCTGATTCCCTCGCGTCTGTGGTCTCTTTTCTGCCCCTATCAATCATCTTCAAAATACATTATCCTTTAGTTTTAACGACTTTATTTTTTTTTAATTTCCGCTCCCTTCCTGAGCACTTGGTTCTTTCCTCAGCCCTAAAACTTTAGATCCTCATTTTGCGTGAGCTCTGCGCTCGCTGGCTTTAGTCCTCTAGTGCTGATGACTTCCAGATTGGATTCTCTGGTCTTTTCTGAATTCTAGATCCTAAGAGCTATTATTTCTTGGAACTGCAGTTGGATTTTGACATGTTGTTTAAGTTCAACACGATTAATATAAAAGATAAGACTTTCTCAAAACACTGACTCCGCCTCTTGAGAACGCTCTGACTGAATGGGTTCGTGACCCACCCTATTCCCCTAGACAGAAACTGGAGACGCATCATTATCTCCTCTCTCTTCTCCTCCCCTGTACCCAGTCTGTCCTCTGTCCTGCCAGCTCTGTCATCTCCGGTCCTCTCTCTCAGTCCTCTTTCTCCACCACAGTGGGTCTCTCCCTGGATCACCCACCTCCCTTAGTGGACTTATCGCTTTCTAGGTAATCTTCCACTGGGCATCAGAATATTCCTCTTTGTTTGGAAGCCTTCAGGGCTGCCCATCACTTCTGAGACAGGACTGAGACTCTTTTGCAAGATGTGCAAAGTGCTGGCTACTCCTCCACCTCATCAATCTGTGCTCGGCTCACCTCAGGCTCTAATTTTCCATACATGTAGGGTTTCCCACGTGCATCATGCTTGACCAGTTCTGTGCACCTTCCTCCGTGTTGCTAATGACTCCAGACACAGCCTTAAGCCCTGGTATTTGCCTGGCAGTTTCTTACGGCCATTCTTGGAACCAGAGCAGCATCTCCAGCCGTGTTTCCTCACCATCCACTTCTGGGTGAGGCCCTCTTCCTGCCCACGAACACCTTGCATCCCTCTCCAGCATCTACTGCCATTCTGTGTGGCAGCTCTCTCTTCTCTTGTTTCCACCCCCGGACGCATGAATTTTTGTCGCTGGGGCTCCAGGGATGAGCCCTTTATCTTTACATCCTCAGCTGCCTGGTATCCCCAGTATTTGGTCGGCGATTTATACAAATCTGTTGAATAAAAGGAATAAATCGATGAATTAATCAACCACATCATAATCAAAAGATGCTGACGGGCCGGCCCGGTGGCGCACTGGATAGTGCGCCACTTGGGAAGCACAGCGGCGCTCCTGCCCGAGGGTTCGGATCCCACATACGGACCGGTTCCCGCTCACTGGTTGAGCGAGGCACGGGAGCAACACCGAGGGTTGCGATCCCGTTGCCGGTCCCCGGTCCGGTACAGGGGCAACACTGAGGGTTGTGATCCGTTGCCGGACACGGAAAAAGACAAAAGACAAAAAAAAAAAAAAGATGCTGACAAGGAGAAACAATAAATCACTATAAGTTAAGTATCTTCAATGCAAAAATTGATTACAAAGCTTATAGTAGGAACTGCCAAATTCCTATATGAAATACACAAAACACCATGACCTTCTCCTTTCACACAGAAGGGTGCAGCCGGGGCAAGAGCATGTAAAACAGTGTAAATATGTCCTGGAACAACAAGAGCAATTTTTGTTCCTTTCCTGAAACATCATGTGCGTATGTACCAAAGCTTTGTAAACACAAGGGTACAGAATGTCCAGGTGATTTCCATTATTTTGGAGACCAAATATGGCTGCTGTGACTTATGACCACTGGCGTTTGACCACAAGCCAAGAGGTAATGCTATGCACTTTCCATCCCAACAGGTATTTGAACCAGACCATACGGGAAGATGTATCAACAGCAGAGCATTCTCTGAACAGGGAGAGATTAGCTGTTTTGAAACAAGCCCTGAATGTAGTTGGCTTCAGCAATTTGGTGAGTCATATCATAAATATTTTACTGAGAAAACCAGCCTTCTAGTAGTTTTTAAAAGTTATTCATTCAAAAACATTTACTGAGCCCCTGTTGTATTCCAGATATTGCCATAGACACTGACGATTCAGCAGAGAATAAGCGCAGGCCCTGCCTCCCAGGGATTTACATTGCAGCAGGGAGGGAGACAAACAAGAAAAATATGTTGGGGAAAATGGGTGCTGTGAAAGCAGTGCAGCCTCAGGAATGTAACAGGAGGAGGCGGTGCCGTCTTTAAGGAGCTCTTTTTCAAAAAGAATATACATGTGCATATGTGTGCGTGTATATATATATATATATGAGGGTACTTCAAAAAGTTCACAGAAAGATTCATATTATCTTTTAATTTTCTTTTTCCACAGACTTTTTTCAAGTACCCTCGTATTGCCAAAACAGATCAAATAACTGAAATAACTTTATATTGTCCAACCCAAGAGAAAACTGGTAGATCTGAAGTAACTCTTTACTGTTAAGTCACTTTGAAATTTAACCACTTTATTAAAATATCTTGTTAAATAATATAAAAATGTTTTATTCGTAAAGAATTACCAAATACCTACAAGCATGATGATGCCAAAAAATGCAATTTAAAATGTTTAGACCACTGCTGCGCAATAGACATTTCTATGATGATGGAAGTTTCTTGACTTGTGCAGTGCAGTACAGTGGTTACAACCATGTGTGGCTAGAGAGACTCAAGAAACGCATGCTTAATATTTCTTGATGTTAATTAGTTTAAATTTACATAGCCATGCGTGTTTAGTGGGTCCTCAGTTAAATAGCAGTGGTTTAGTGAATAAGGAATATGAAATGACCTAGGCCTTGAGTGAGACCTCTCAGAATGTCCCCAGTCTCTGTTTTTTTTGTGTATTAATTCTGTTCCAAACATTCAATATGGTTGCATTTTGGATTACAGCCAATTCCTCATGAACCCTTAATATAAGATCGCAGGAGTGACTTTGTTCAGCCAGTAGTTCACAAGCCCAGAATTATTCACAGATTTAAATACGTTCTTTTTTATTTTTCTGAAACCAGTAATTTGACTGAAGTGGGTCTTTGTTTTTACCCCTGCCCACATATTTATGGCTAATGGGGAAGTGAGTGGGTGGGAAGTAGGTGGGCAGGTGCAGACAGGGAGGGGTGCTAAATGTCCTAAACGAATGAACCAGGGGCAGCTGGCTTCGCCCAACCCTCCGTCCATTCAGAGACTGGAGCTCTGACTATCCAGTCTCTGTGTTTCTGTCTTTTACTGACTCCTACCCCCTTTCACTGTTCTGTCTTTTCACTAGCTGATGCATTACTTCTCTATTTTTATGTTTTCTTCTCTCTACATGCCTGAAATTTCTGCTTCCTTACAGGAAACAGGGATAGAGATATGAGTAGGGAACCATTCTACTAAAATACCAGTTACTTGGAAACAAGGCTTTGAAAATCCATGATTGACCCTCAAAGGCAGGGCAAGCAAAATACCCCCACTGACTAAGGGTGTTAATAGAGAACCAATAACCTTTTCGGTAAAAGAAATAGGTACATTTTAACAAAAGACATAAAATTAATCCCTTTATGTTGATCCTTTGGAATGACTTGAATGGTGACAATTTAGCTGACTTAGGAGAGGATAGATTCTGTCCAGTAAGATTTGAAAGAAGGTATCTCTGGACTGGTGACGCCTTGGAATCAAAACGTGGAAGTGGGGGCTGGCCCGGTGGCACACTGTGCTAGTGCGCCACTTGGGAAGTGCGGAGGCGCTCCCGCCGAGGGTTCGGATCCCACATACAGACCGGTTCCTGCTCACTGGCTGAGCGAGGCGCGGGGGCAATGCCGAGGGTTGCGATCCCGTTGCCGGACACGGAAAAAGACAAAAAA